GTAATTGTTTTACAAAAATGTTTTTTTTGACTACTTTTTCAAAACGTCTACTCCGATTGGTATATACATGTGGTGGTCCCTATTAGCTTTCAACATTTCGTGACAATATCTTGACTACTCTAATTTTAGTGAATACTTTTGTTATTTTTGGTGAAAATACTATTTTTAACTACTTCTTGATAATTGAAATAGACCTTTATCAGATTTGTTCATTTCATGTTATATCCAGACGTGTAACAGACATATCCTACATGTATAACAGGTCTTGTTGACTCTAAAAGTTTGGTGCTATTAAACATATCTCATTGATAAGATCTAAACACAGGAGTTGAAACACTTCAAAATGTAAACAAAACCAAGGCTGTTTGTTTCTCTATGATGTTTTTGTAATTATGCATGCACTTATTATTGCAAGACTGCTGTGCTCTGCTGAAATGATTGATCTATTTCGACCATTGGGATTGTTAACCCGTTTTAGTGGATTAAGTTTTACTGCCATAGTATTCAGATCTTGGCCATTGGTGGTGTTTGTTGTGATAAATAAAAGGTGTGCACCACCTCGCATAATAAATGAGGACAGCATCTGTAGTTTACAGTGTGCTACTGTAAAATGACTAATTTTCACTAGGTTTAAATTTTGCTGATTTACCATTTTTGGCATATTCAGTGGGTTTTAAATTCACGGTTTGATCATTTAGATAATGTGTTCTATGCTAAATTTTACATATTCACCGGGTTTTAATTTAGCGCATTTTCCAGTCAGCGAAATGAGCAAAATTAAAACCCAGTGAATAATTAATCCCTTTACAGTATACTATAAATGTTTTACTATGTTATTTCATAGCTGTTTTGTTCCCCCCTATTTAGTGGCTGCAAGGGGTAAATCAGATTTTAACATACAACATCTACTTCATATACAATTTTATTATTACAGTTTATTGACAAATTGATGTATTTCTATATTTGAAGGTTATAGCAGCTCCAGTCAGCGATGACCCTGACCTTGTAATCATCATTGGTGCAGCCTTGGGTGGCTTGGTGTTCATTATGCTGATTATTCTTCTTGTCTTCCTCTTCTCTGTGAGAAGTAAGCGAGCAACTAGAGGCACGTATAGTCCCAGTCGACAAGAGATGACAGGTTCGCGTGTGGAAATGGGTAATGTATTGAAACCACCACCTGAAGAAAGACTTATATGAAGAGAATATATTAGTAGACAACAAATTTGACATTTGACAATCTCTGCAATGCACTTGATATCTTGATCCAATATGGCTTCCTCTCTACTGTCAAGCGTTTCAGATAAGTTTCAGCCAATTTCTCACTAGTGAAAGTGTGAAGCCAGTGTTTATGCTGTACAATATTGTGCTGCTTATAACTTATACATAATGTACATAGCCATTGCCGGAAATTCTTGATTTGCATTCTCACTATATGTACTTAATACAAACTATTTCATTTGGCAGCCATATTGGTTAGTGCATTGTGGGATTGACACACTTGTAAATAATAACGTTTTTTTATATATCAAATCATTTTTGTATCTGTACAGTGTAGTTATGAGAAATAATCAAATTTAGTTAAAACACAGACAATTTTTACTAACATGTATTATAATTGGATGAGATAGTGACATATCTGTCATTGCATGTCTCCTGATGCGATGCTTGGCTGTCAAATTTTTAAATAAAATAAAGCAATACACGAAATACTGAAAATAGTTCACCTTAGATATATATACGTATGAATCAACCTCATGCCTATGTTGCCCATAGTAACCATATATATTATTATGGGATGTAGTTTACTTGTCACCTTATAAATCATGATGATAGCCATCAATTGTATATAGCCTTACATTCAATATCTTTGAGGGTTGTTTGATACGCCTGTGTTGATTGGTTGATTGTTCATCCACTAACAGCTAGGTTTAGATAGTATGTTAGGTTTGTGATCCCATGATTCAAATGTTCAGAGTACATTAATTATGACGTTGCAATAATTATGCATATCAGTATTTTCAGAAACCCGCCAAATTTTGTAAAAGTATTTTGATAACAATGCCTTGAAATTCAATTTTGCTACTTAATACTATTAATATTTTTGATGAATTTATCAATATTTATTATAAGTCTTGTTTCCAGCATTATTTTTTTGCAACTAACAAGATATGAACATGACATTTTTACCATTGTTGACCTCTGACACCTCACCTCGATTATGGCAGTATATTGTGTGAAAACAAATTATGAAAAAAGCATATACATGTATGTTTGAAAAAGAAAAATGTTTTTCAATTCGATAATCCCTCATGTTGAGTGTTCTTTTTTGTTTTAAAGTTTATGTATGAATACCTCTTATTGATTTGCAATAACTGGAGGGGTTGAGATTGTTAAAAAAAAATTACTTTATGCAATTCCCAGATTCACAGTGAGATAAATCTAATCAAATAAGTCAATCCAAATTTCAAAACATGAACAAAACAATCTGTTTTCTCATTTTTGGTATTATTTTATTCTATTTATCACACCTGCACAGAATATTAGGCCATGGTGAAGCTGAAACACAAAGTTATATCACACATTTGATTTTTTTCCACATTAATATTAACACTAACTTGTACTGCTTGAAATCTATTTCTACTCCAGAGTTTCATTTTGATTTATTTATGTGCAAATGTGTTTTTTACTTTCAACAATATTAATAATAATTAATATAATGGTGCCTTAAAAGATTCATTGTATAAAAATGAAAGTTATCAAGCATTTCATTGCAATATTTTCTTTCTTAGAAGCACATCTGCAGCAGAGACCAATACAATCCAAACGATGGCAAAACAGTTATGTGTTTATAATTGTGTAAATACTGTACAGGTATAACCTGTTGTGTTCATCTTTTCATTATTATGTAAATTGAGGTCAAGTCTTATCCAATCATTCATCTGCTGTTGATGTGACCAATCAGCTTCTATTTTTTCATCTCATGAATATTCAAATCAGCTTCTATTTTCTGATCTGTATTCATCCCCTGTTTATATACATTCATATTCTGAGGATTTATATTTCAGTATACTCCAAAGACTGCCATATCAATTTTGAAAATAAATTTATTTCAAATTCAAAAAAATTGTAGGAATTGGTTATGTAAAATGTGAGATGTTGCTAGATGCATATGTATGTATGTATGTCTATCCTACCACAGCTGTAAATTTATTGAAGATCAAACCATTATTGCAGTGATGCTGCAAAGTTAGCACAACAGTACAGTGTAAGTTTTGACTAATGCATAACAGAGGTGATCGTTTACTGTCTCGGTGCATATTTCACAGTATCTTTGTATTAACTGCATTATTTATTACATGTCTTCCTAATCAAACTGCTTGGTTTATGAAGCCCGGAACTGGCCTCGGTGAACAATATTATTGAAACTTTTTCGATATGAACTTCTTTTTTTAGCTCTGCTGTCATTGTTGATGACAAAGCGGAGCTGTTCATATAGGTAATTGTTCATAGTCTGTCGTCTGTCAACAATTGCATTTTCTTAAAAAACTATCAGCTCAAATGTTTTGATACCTTGGGTACCTTTGGCAGATTTGTTCATTTCATGACGATATCTTCAATTATTTATTTTTGGCAAATATTTTTGTAATTTTTGGTGAATAATTCTATTTTCAACTTCTTGAAAACTACTAGATCAATTGCTTTGTCAGATTTGTTCATTTCATGCCGATATCTTCAATGGCATTCATACAGAGACTGTTGGACATTTTTACATGCTGAACAACAAAAATAACATTTCTGAAGACACAGTAGATACAAGTATATATATATTCATAATGAGATATGTATTCATGAACATTTCTGATTACACACACATTGATATACATAAGTGAATTTAACTTTTTTAATCAAAGCTATTTAATATTTTAATTTAAAAGTCCTACCTGAAATTCAAACGAATTTCCAGCAAATATTATTCACTGTTTAGTTATAACTTATGCAGCTGCTTGATTACATATTGCCTAATCGTCAGATGTACAGTTGACAATTCTATTATTTAATGCAAGTGCAAGCTCATTACAAACAAAAAAACAAAACACAAGAAATTCGAATTGTCTGACTAAATTTGATGCTAGGAACTTGTATTCTAAATATACATTGTGTGACTGTTATAATTTGATCGGGTAGAGTGCTCATGTGATTGGCATTGTTCTTATCTCATTGTTCATGTATAATCACAATTGAATGGTTGATTAATCATTTCTATTGCAACTTGAAGTTCGTGGCCAGTAATCCAGTGAAGATAATAGCATAGGATACGATGATTGTGGAAGCAGAATCAATCACTGGTTCTGAGACTGCAAAAGAAAAACACATTTCAATAAAAGATACAATCACACATTTATGGATAATTAACTTTTCAGATACATGTATACTTTTTTGCATGGGTATTAATTCATTGAATTCGTGCACATATGTAGATATGCCAGGGTAATCTTCCTGAACCCGAGAATATGATAGGACAATGTAAAGGAATATATTCGGAACTACATTCATATATTATAGAAATTTCAACACACAATTTCACATGCAATCACAAGTGTATGTTTGTTCAACTCAAAGACAATGCAATGTGATTGTTTAAATAAAGTTCACCAACGTCTTCAATAATGTTGACGATTTTGAGGTGAACGTCGAAAATGACGTAGGAATATGAAACTTTAAAATATACTGCATTGCCTTACTCATTACCATTGCAAACAAATGCCATTTGTATTGGCACTGATTCTACTGCAAATAATCAGGTATGTCTAGTATCTTTGGTTTCTTATGATAAATTATTCTACCCTGTGACTTAAATGGTATAAGAATTGGTCTTAGTCGTAGTCAGCCAATCTTCATTATAGGCACTGCCATAGCTTCGCGGAAACCGCGCATCAAACTAGAAATGTATACTAACCTTCAGTAGTCGCTGGCTCATCTTTTTCATATGGTTTCCAAGTACATTTTGGATCCCACCCTACTGTATCTATTATACCAAGTTCAAATAATTCCTTATTTAACCATTCGTCCAATGGTTTGAAGTAATTCAATAATGGTAAAGACTCCATTTCATATGTACCTGCTATGGCATACATCGCGTATGGCCATGGTACACTACGACCTTTTGCTAACATGTCCCTACAAACAATGAACATATTTAATATCTGCTCATATTTACCCAATCATGTGAAAGTGAATAAAAATCAAGTTGCGAGTATTAAACTAATCTCAGACATGTGCAAATACAAGAACTTTAACGTGGTATTTTGTTTTGTATAGTAAAGCTTACCCCAGAATTTTCCCAGCTTCTGTAGAATTGTAGAAATCACATTTAAAGATCTCCTGGTCCCATCCTGCGGCTTCGCACATGGCTTCGTTGAATTGAAACTGGATGAATGTACGGGTGTAGTACCTATACAAATACACATAAATTAACGTATGTTTGACACATATGACGTAACAACACTGAAACTGTGACATTGTATGTCTTTGACTTCAAAATTGGACAAATAAAAATAATTACACATCCCGCACCAAAATACTGCTTGAACGACCCATTATCGACTTTCTACTCTGGTTTACGCAGCTTCGTATGAAGACTATCCCAGAACTGAGACTATAATCACAATATCCATTAAATTAATGTTCCATTACAACAGGTAATTGAGAGTAACATAATGAAACACGTCCATCAACTGAACTTTGTTGTTATGCACAAAACAACATTTTGTGCCTGAGTTGCCCACCTTAAGAAGAGTAGTCATTAGCAATGTGGTACATTGCACCGGGGTCGAAATCTTCTTCAGTACGAGGAACGGGTTCAACAACGCCTATAACTTGATTTCTGCAAGAAAATGAATGTTATTTGAATCTTCATAAACATGTTCAAATCATTTAAACAATTTACAGATTGAACTAATACATACCGTTTCGAAATTTACTTTGCACAACAATTTTTGCAGAAGTTATGCAGAGTAGTAATACCTTTAAAGTCGGGGAGTCGTCACCTGCGCATGCGTCAGATGGCCAAAGCGTGTCATTGTTTACAAACAAGCGTCTACCCATGAGCCTTTGCGTGTTTAGCGTGTGTTGTTATCGCGCGTGCGCAGGTGACGACCCTCCCGCTTTAACGTTATCGTAGTCACAATACGTATTGTGAATGTACAAATCCAAGAATGCAGTTACAGCAGTATAGAATGAACGAACACTATATACAAATCATGACGTCATATCAATACGAATGTATGTGTATAGTATTGGTGTTAAATGAAGTGATGAAAGCAAATGTGTCATCTGTGATATACCAAACTTAGTCTTTCGTCATAGGAAATCATGGACCATAAAACAACAGATGGTCTGCTATAGAATGTGCAAATGGTGAATACATCCATGTATGTATGTACGTTATCTATAACAATCTCTTCTCTTTATCAACTGTAGTTACACACCATCTCCATACTTACGCACACATCCTCCCCGTACTTACACACTTAATCCTGAGCAGTAACTTGAACACGTCCTCTCCGTACTTACTTTATCTCCCACCACTTTTGCATCCAATCTTCGTATGGTATATTGTAACGGAACACTTCCCAACGCCATTTCTCTAACGCGATGGAAAATGGTAACGTAGCAACCATTGTCAGAGCTTGCTTCATCAGGAAATTGATGTCTGTCTCTAGAAAACATGAACATGAAATATGACCTAGTTATTACACATATTTGTTTGCTTCTGTTATTAACACAGTAAAAAAAGAAACAAAATCTTGTTATTGCTAATATTAGTATTACCCTTAGTTTGATTGTTATTGTGAATGTTATTTACTGCAATGCTGTTAGTCCAACCTACCATAGTCATCTGGATTTTCGTGCAATAAACCAATCGAGTAAAGATGTTGTGTAGTGGCAGCAGACATTGCGATGACCTCGCCTACAGCCTCGTGAAAACCCTCATTAGCACCATCCCGAAACTCAACCGGTTGGTCTTTGTACTGCAGGAAATATTGAATGTGTCCCATTTCATGATGTATCGTCATAAAGTCGTCCATGTTGACCTCCGTGCACATACGTATCCTGAGTATGAAATATCAACAAATGTCTTTATTGAATAAATTAGCATTCACACGTGAAACACTTTCTTTATGTACGGAAGCAAATGCAGTGGCAGTGACATCTCAAAACTGTTTGTAGCCGGCAACATTGCATAGTATCATGGCAATGCATTGACATATGTCCAAACATACCTTGATCGATTTTGTTAAGTTTCTGCACAGATGGGTAATATTGACATACATGTGTACGTCGATTTTTTCCCGTTTTGTTGTCGTTTAACCGACTGTCAACCAGTTTTGTCCAATTTCAACATGCCATCCAACCGTTTCTAAGGCATGCCTGGGTCGATTTCATTCAAACCTGACATCAAAATCACAGCTGGAAAGACATTTTTCTACATGTTTGACGCGTGTTTGTGAAATACACTTTTACAGATTTTGTTTAAGTGAATGACGGTCATTTTCGTCAACAACAACGAAGTCAAATAGTTTTAAAATGATATCAACAATTTTTCGGACATGCCTGGAACGACTTCATTCAACGTTAGTATGCTGGTTTCACATATTTGGTTTCTGATGCAAGTTTTTTTGTCTTTTGATTTGATTTAAAATGGCCGAGTGGTCAATAGTTGAACAGCGACAAATTACAATGACATTCATGTGCACCTTAAGTTTTTCATTGAACCTAATTTAAAGGGCGGTAGCCGTCGCACCACGCATGCGCGAGATATATGGGTCTTATTTAAACAAAGATGGCAACATTGACTGTTGCACAGATCAACGAGTAGGAAGGAGTCATCGGCGGTAATTAGTGCGCCCAGGTCAAACCTCATACTTGTGATTTCCATAAGAAGAGCGCATTGGATTGTGGGAAAATAAACACAAATATCGCACTTGCGCAGCGCGACGACCACCGCCCTTTATGAGACTGGTGTTCATCCCTTAAATGACAAAATGTCGTATTTTGAACATGTCATCAACCATATGAGTACCACTTTCAATGACTTGTTCAACATACTGTGCGGTGATCTACTCAAATATACAAATAATTTCAAAACACAAGAAGGCACATTTAATCAATCTAAATTCTACGTGTATTTAAGGCATCTGTCTTGACCTATTGGTTATATCCTAATGCCCTCTCAAATGATAAACAATTGGGTTTACTAAACAAAAATGAACTGGTAATGTTAAAACTTATTATTATACTTCTGTCACCGTAACGCCGTAAGTTACAGCGCGCCGTAATTATTCGGTATTTTACGGGCTATCCTACCATATAAGGAATGCGAATTCCAAATACGGAATAATGACGCGTGTAAGCGTTCTCTAATAATAAAAACAAACATGGCTGCCACCAGGGTTTGAACAGACTCCACACAAAGAAGTTCGCTGATTCTGTTCTGTTCTGTTCTGTTCTGTTCTGTTCTGTTCTAAACCCATTGTGTATTCCCAAAGATGTATAATAATAGTAAGGTTATTCATTACGAGGATACTTCAAAGTATGCACGAAGACAGTACAGTGCACGTCGGTCGGTGCGATGCGATAATAACCTCATAATATGACGAGTACTTTATCCGAAATTCTACAAAGCTTAAGACGCTTTTTCTCTTGCAAGAACAACGTCTTTTTTTCAAACATTATCGCAATGTCCCTTACAGTCAGCTATGTAAGTCATATATATCACAAACATCGAAAATTCTTTTATTGTCATATCCATCCCTGCATCGAGAATCTTTCTATTTGATATTTCTATTGCAATTAAGAAATTGCTTTTTGGTTCTACTAGTCTTCAAAATAATGTTTTTTAGTTTTAATCTCAATTTACAAATAATACGCTTAATTTTATTATTAGCCCCACTGAAGGTATTGCAAGGGCGCCACCACATGAGACGGTGTTATCACTACGCATCTGTACGCCACCACCGATGCACATGAGGAATAACAAAGATATGTTCATATGACAGAGTGCGTTGAACTTCTTTAGTACGACAGACCCTTTTCACCGTGACGTCACCGGTTAGTATAACTTTCTGAGCGGCAAACTGGTTGTAGCTTATAATGACTGTAGTAAAGCCATTTTATTGTACATATAAGTAAGAGATCAACGTCAAGGTCGAGAACGTGTTTTACTTATACCGTGCCCAATAAAAATATGTATACCGCAGAACTCACATAGTTATAGAAACCAACAAATTGTTGGCAATAAATACGAGACACTTGAAACCGGGGTCCTACACATTGAAAAAGAAACTCACACGCCATGAAAAGTTAATTAGTTTTAGCTGGATACAATTTGCCATGAAAAAAGAGGAGCAATGGCGTGTTTAAAACACAAAACAAAATAAGATACCACAGAGGTGTCTTTGTTGATAGCCCCGTTTTTCAAATTGATCAACCCTTCAACGTGCTAGTACCTGAAATCTATTCGATTGTAGAAGTCCCAGGCAGTGGCATGACATTCCGCTAGTCTGTCAGTTGGTTTGACGAACATGGATTCTGCCCAGAACTCTGGGGGCGCTTCAATCAACCCCATTGATATAAAGAAATCATCCGCCATACGAAACATTCTGTCGACAGTGTAGTTCTGTAAGAGAAAGAAAGAAGTTAATTAGTCATCAAACACTTGTTGATCTGTTATTGAACGTTATTAACGTTTTTAGCAAATTTATCACGTGACCATATAATATCCCATTAATTTGATTTTAATATTTGTAAGGATAATGCCGATGTATTTATCAAGACAAACTCGACTCTTTAGTTTGATTTTTACCTGTCGTATCATTTCATCTGTGACGTCAACATTGGTGCCATTGGGGTATGGTTCAACTATGCTGTAGAGATTGGTCCAAAAGCGCCCCCACATGTCGCCTAGTATAAGATACAGACATACAAAATGTTAGACATTCCAACGGACAATTTGCCTCGGTGTAGTATAAGGGTGCGTAATAATCCTGTCAAGGGAACGCCATTTTTAATTTAACAAATCACTAGTGCAATACGTTAAGATTAGACAGTTTCCATGGAGAAATTAGGGCTAATACATATATGATAGCATACTAATGAAAACAAAAATTAAACATTGCTACAAATTAGTTTAATGCGAAATTGAATAAAATATGTGCATCGTAATTATCACATATTGCAATCAACAAGTTCATGAAATATATGTATTGTAATTATTACATTGTAAGCTTTAAGCTCTTTCAAATCAGTCTCGCACAATGACACATGATACACTACTGTTTTACATCCCACCTTATCCCAATCACGGTTCACCCCTTACCTAATACATTAGCTGGTAGACATCCCTTATCAAGGTTTATCTTATCACCCACCCCATCACAGTGATGGTACACCCCTTACCTAATACATTAGCTAGTAGACATCGCTTATCAAGGTTTATCTTATCACCCACCCCATCACAGTAATGGTACACCCCTTACCTAATACATTAGCTGGTAGACATCCCTTATCAAGATTTATCTTATCACCCACCCCATCACAGTGATGATACACCCCTTACCTAATACATTAGCTA